CGGGGCGGCAGGGGCAGGGCCGGAGCCGGGGCGCGGCGCTCCCAGCTCAGTGGCGCTCCCCCACAGCAGCCCTCAGCCGCCGTGAGGGTTTCGGCTCCCCGGCAGGCAGGGAGAGAGTCAGGGGAGGCGGCAGGAGCTTAACCTCCAAGAGACAGAGGGTTACTGCTGCAGAGGAAGAAGGGAGGATAGGGAGGAACAAAGCCCGATAAACGGCTTGGGACAAGCACAAGATCGAAAGCCCACAGGACAGGAATTTCAGGTACAGCCCAGAGATTGAAATTGAAGTACAAGCCCGATTAGTCAGTATTCTTAACTGAACACAAGCCTCCAAAACTCAGCCTCGTTCCCCTCCCCCTAGCTGCAGTTTCTAGGAACAGCGTAAGGTCCCACAGGACCTGGAGGGCCCCCACACGGCACCACAGCTCCTCATGTACAGCTCGGCGCTCTGCTCAACCATCCTCGGCTTTTGGGACACGCTCCCTAGCAGTGAGAGAACTCACAATCTTTGTTTTATCCTTTGTCCGTACTGCTGACCTTGCACGTTATCTCCTCGGAGGTAAGGCGTCAAAGCAGTGGAATGGCACGTCTGGGTGCTCACAGGCCAAGCGAGTTACATATACAAACTCCAGCATGTTAATTACAACAAAGTAGGCTTGTGTCTTCCTTGTACCTATCCTTTTAAATTCACAATTTTATAGTAATATTTTATAATATTACTAAAATTAGCTTTTAAGCATTAATCTGAAAATTCTGTGTCCACTGCTTTTGGCTGGGATAGAGCTAATTGTTTGGGTATTTTTTTTTTTCCTTCCTTCCTTCCAGTAGCTAGAATAGTGCTGTGCTTTGGATTCAGTAGGGAATTTGATACGAGAAGAATGTTGATAATGTACTGATGCTTTTAGTTGCTGCTAAGAAATCAAGGACTTTTCAACTTCTCACATCCTCTTGCCCAGGTCCAGGGACACAAGGAGCTGGAAGGAGGAACCAAAACAACAGACCCAAACTGGCCCTTGACATATTCCATATCATCCAACATCACGCTCAGTACATAGAAAAGGGTGGACTGTGAAACTCTAGTGAGGCTCTCGGGATGGTGGTTTCAGGGTTCTCTCTCCTCTGGGCTCACGAGCCAGGGACAGGCTGGGCATCGGTCAGCGAGTGCTGAGCAATCCCGCTGTGCATTACCCATTTGTATTTTCTATTATTATTCTCATTATTACTTTTATTAAACTGTTTTTATGTCAACCTATGAGTCTCCTTGCCCTTACCCCTCCAACTCTCTCCCTCATTCCCTGGGGGTGGGGTAAGGGTGAGCAAGTGGCTGCATGGTGTTTGGCTGCTGGCTGGGTTTAAGCCATGACAGTGTGGAAATAAAAAACAGTATCTCCCATTTCCAGAAAACTATTAAATCCAGAGTTTATTCACACTTCAAACCAACCAAACAAATAAAAAGATTTAAATCTACTGTAAATCTATAAGGATGAAAAGAATACATAGCTTAAGGTAACAATGGCTGGCTTAACATTTTATTGAAGGGGTGGTGCTTTATGTGCTGTTTTTAGTAAATCAATGAAAAAAAAATGTACCTCTGTGTCTTTATTCACCCTATAATCAAATTGCACAGTAGCAATTTCATTCAGTTCCTTAGCCAGGAAACTGATGATGATTTCATAATTAAAGTTTTCTGCAATAAACTATTTTACACCAAAGTAAGTACATACACAAAGTATAATGTGAAAGTGGACCAAGGACGTTAATATACGCTCAATGCAGCACCATATAAAGACTGTTCTGAAGGAGCCTGCTTAGGTATTGTAAGCAATGTATGTTAGTTTATCCAGCACTAATACAGCTTTGTTGTTTTGTGTATAAGTATCTTTATATGGCATTGCAGCACACTGTGCAAACATATTCCACAAGAAAAATGTATTTGCTGACAGCAAAACCAGCTGTAACAAACGGGTCAGTAAAATGCCTCCTGGCCATCAGAAGCTTCATTCTTCAAACATGACTTTTACATCCATCTTCTTTCAGAAACCTGATTACATTTTCCCACATCTGAGTCTCTAGGAAAAATCATGCCTAGCAAGTACTGGTGCATCCTGAACTTTACTTGAAACAGCAATGCCAAATTTGCGCTCAAGTATTTCAAACCTGTTGATCCCAGACCAGTAATGACACACAAACACAGAACTGTCAATTACTTCAGTAGTTTTGGCACAGTTAGAGTAGGAACTGTAATTTCTTTAAAGATTGGCACATAGTTTGGATTTGGTTGGCTTGGACCTTGATCCAATGTCTCAATGATCATCTGCTTCATATCTCTGCTGGCATCGCCCCTCACTGTCAGCAAAGCTGCAATATGGTCATCCCTGCCAAAAGAAAACAGTAGAACTGGCATTAGCAGGAAACTTTGCACAAGTAAGAGTTTGTCAGAAATATAATTTGATTGGCAATCCTTTCACTCAGTTACAGCGTGTACTTTATTTCTTAATCAAATCTCTAGTCACTCAGAACTGGCTTTTCCAGCTCAATGTAAAAGCGTTGTTGTGGCTGCTCTTAGGACTCTAAAACATATATTATCCTCCCAAAACACAGAATGGAAGTAATTTGCTGTACCACCGAGTACTTAAGTACATGTACTTCCTAGTCCAGCTCACATATATTTTATATTAGCATCATTTTTCATAAGAAAGTACTACATTCCATAAAATATGAAAAACATGAACTACACATTGTTTTAAAATTTGCCCAAGACTATAAAGAAACTATGACGTTATGTATCTTAACTTTGAGGGCAAAGAAAATTACCTGATATCTGGGTATTTACTGACTAAAGTTGAAACTTCCAGATAGAGCAGTGAAGGATCAGTTAGCTTGATAACCTCTGCAATGGCTTCAATGATGTCACAGAGCCCTTCAGTGTCCTCTCCAGAGCCCTGCAAGATGAAAAGTAAAAAAAAAAAACAACAAACCACAACCCTCCACACCAACAAACCCCAAAAAACCCAAACCCCAAAACAAAAGTGATCACCCCAATATCTCTAAACAATCCCTTTAGTATTTTGTCCAACAGTGCTCTTGAATTTCCCAGAGTTGAATATTCAAATGTTAAGAAAACAAAAGATTTGTGAACTGTCACCATAAGTCTCTTCCCTCTTTCCCTGTTCTTCACACAGAGACTTACCCTCAGAATACCAGTAAAGAAAGCTCTGTCTTACAGACAGTAATGCTGTATTTATCCACATGGTGATGCATTCTAGTCTAACTTTTGCTAATTTGACAGCATAAACATTAGGAATAACTGATATGAAAGCCAGATCTCTTCTGAAACATTACTTAAAAAACATCCCTGCATTAACTTCCTTCTAGTCATCTGTCCATCAAGGCAGCTGTCAAAAACTGATCAACTGAACTGTAATATCTATTTAATCTCTGGACTATTTTAGTGCTCTTAGTTCCAGGTCATCTGGCCCTGACAATCTGGTATTGTTCATTTCATTTATTCCATAACCTCTTCTACCAATGCCTTCATCTGAAACAGATCTTACACAGAATCCCACATAACGAAGGGCTTCGATGCAGGAGTTGCCCTAACATCTTCCACAGTGATCAGAGATGAACACCGCCCCTTCCCCACCCCTCTAGTTTTTCAGGCTTTATCTTCCTCTGTGTTCTTTTCACATTTTGTTGTCTGTTGACCCTAAGAGCTTTCCAGCAGGTTTCTGCTCCGTACGCAGTTAAAAAAAGATTTGGTATTCATTTTAGGCCTATCTTGTACATTGTTTCTCAGATGCCTTTTCTGGCCTTTCTTTTCTCTTTCTACAGCACTTTAAATGGGGTCAACATTCTTGTCTTGTTGATTCTAAAGAAATACACTGCGTGTTAC